ATGTAGACCAATTTAAAAAACAGGACCCAAAATTAAAAATCTAAATACACGGTTAGGTTTGGCATATCAAAGAACCCCAATAATTCAATTTTCGATGAAATCAAACAAAGTTTAATTTTGGACCCTTTTGACCTTAATATGAACCAATTTGATAACGGGGTCCACAAATAAAAAATCTAAATACATGGTTAGATTCAGCATATCAAAGAACCCCATATATTCAATTTTTGTTGAAATCAAACAAAGTTTATTTTGGACCCCAATTTGGACCAACTTGAAATCTGGGCCAAAAATCAAAAATCTAAATACATGTTTAGATTCAGCATATCAAAGAACCCCATATATTCAATTTTTGTTGAAATAAAAAAAAGTCTAATTTTGGACCCCAACTTGGACCAACTTGAAAACTGGGCCCATAATCAAAAATCTAAACACATGTTTAGATTCAGCATATCAAAAAACCCCAAGAATTCAATTTTTGTTAAAATCAAACTTAGTTTAATTTTGGACCCTTTGGACCTCAATGAAGACCAATTTAAAAAACGGGACCCAAATTAAAAATCTAAAAACACGGTTAGATTTGGCATATCAAAGAACCCCAATAATTCAATTTTTGATGAAATCAAACAAAGTTTAATTTTGGACCCTTTTGACCTCAATATGAACCAATTTGATAGCGGGGCCCACAAATAAAAAATCTAAATACATGGTTAGATTCAGCATATCAAAGAACCTCATATATTCAATTTTTGTTGAAATCAAACAAAGTTTAATTTTGGACCTCAATTTGGACCAACTTGAAAACTGGGCCCATAATCAAAAATCTAAATACATGTTTAGATTCAGCATATCAAAGAACCCCATATATTCAATTTTTGTTGAAATCAAACAAAGTTTAATTTTGGACCCTATCTTGGACCAATTTGAAAACTGGGCCCATAATCAAAAATCTAAACACATGTTTAGATTCAGCATATCAAAGAACCCCAAGAATTCAATTTTTGTTAAAATCAAACTAAGTTTAATTTTGGACCCTTTGGACCTTAATGTAGACCAATTTAAAAAACAGGACCCAAAATTAAAAATCTAAATACACGGTTAGATTTGGAATATCAAAGAACCCCAATAATTCAATTTTTGATGAAATCAAACAAAGTTTAATTTTGGACCCTTTTGACCTTAATATGAACCAATTTGATAACGGGGTCCACAAATAAAAAATCTAAATACATGGTTAGATTCAGCATATCAAAGAACCCCATATATTCAATTTTTGTTGAAATCACACAAAGTTTAATTTTGGACCCCAATTTGGACCAACTTGAAAACTGGGCCAAAAATCAAAAATCTAAATACATGTTTAGATTCAGCATATCAAAGAACCTCATATATTCAATTTTTGCTAAAATCAAACAAAGTTTAATTTTGGACCCTTTGGACCTTAATGTAGACCAAATTGAAAACTGGACCCAAAATTAAAAATCTAAATACACTGTTAGATTCGGCATAACAAATAAATAAATGTGATCAAAGATTTTACAAATCTAATGCGCCATACTGTGCAATTAAAGATTACTTCTTGAAATTTTTCAATATTTGAAATTTGAAAAAAAAAATATTTGAATAATTCTTTTTAATTTCTGAAATCTGAAATGAGAAAAAATTGACCCTCCACAATTTCTTTTTATCCCCCCCCCCTTTTTTCCCCCAAAAAATTCTTTCCCTCACGTTTGGTCATAATCTCAATTCAAATTTCCAATGGAGTTGGCAACCATAATTACCCATTTAAATTTACCATAGTGCTAACCTAATCTATTTTATAATAGATTAAAAATATAGTGTCAAATCTTTCATATGGATTTTTTTGTAAAAAAAAAAAATGCAACATTTGCAGATATTTTTACTGGTCTTCCTTTATAAATATGCATTTCTTTAAACATAATTTAAAAGCAGTGTAAGGGAAGTAACCAAAACGTTGTTTTTGGATTTTACCTCCCTTACACTGTTTTAAAATATCTTTATTGTTCATTAACCATTACTTTATACATAATTTAAAAGCAGTGTAAGGGAGATAATTTCAATGATGTATTTGATTTATCTCCCTTACACTGCTTAAAATTATGTTTTGTACTAAAGTATTTGTCCATTAACCAGGACAACCTTTTTTTTCCCCCTTTTTTGCCCCTAATTCCTAAACGGTTTGAGCCATAACCCCCCAAAGCAAATCTTAACCATCCCTTTGTGGTATGGAAACTTGTAGTATAATTTCAGAGAGATCCATACACCAGTTATTGTCTGGAAACTAGAAAATGCTTATTTTTGGCCCCTTTTTGGTCCCTAATTCCTTAAATGTTGGTACCATAACCCCCAAAATCAATCCCAACCTTCCTTTTGTGGTATTTAATCTTATGGTCAAATTTCAAAAAGATCCATTCACTTAAACTAAAGTTAGAGTGCGAAAACCAATGTGTCTTCGGACGACGACGACGACGACAACGCCAACGTCATACCAATATACGACCACAAAATTTTTTTGCGGTCGTATAAAAATATATGAAAAGGGAAATGGATGTCCCAGATGCTCACCACTACCACAAAAAGATCGAAGTGCTATATGCACATATCATTGGCCAAATGAACGACATGTCCTAATCAGTGTTTTTAAAACTTCTCAGAAAAATATTGACGGAAATGAGGAATGAGTAGTGAAAAATAAATGAAAACGGAATGATTCTGATTCTAAAAACGGATGTTAGATATACTGAACATGTATATTTGAGTTAATTAAGATGCATACGATGTTATATTTTTGTCCAGTTTCCCATGTTAAATAATTAAAATGAGAAGGCATTTACCTTACAGCTTCATTTTCCAGCGATGCTGGAATGTATAAATGATATAAAACAAGGTAAGAAAGCGTCTTGGACCTACTTTATCTCTTTATTCGGATACTTGCAGATATCTTCTCAAAGTTCAACAGGAATATTAGAAAAGAACCCGGATAGAACCAAGAAGTTGGGTTTCTATAACCAAACAACCCGGATTTTGAACCAGTTACCATGTCCTAATTTGGTGTAGATAAAACTTCTAGAAAAATATAGACGGAAATAAGGGATGAGTGGTAAAAAATAAATGAAACTGACAGTTTCTTTCCGACTGATTTAAAAAGAAAAGGATGTGCGATATACTGTATATCTAGGTTTATGGAAGTATCATAAGATTCTATCTTTGTCTAGTTTCCAATGTCAAAATAATTTAAATGAGAAGATATTTACCTCAAAGCTTCATTTTCCGGTGATGCTGAAATGTTTAATGTTATAAAACTAACACCTCGTTCATATAAGATGCGAATACATGAAAGCTGAACTGATAATCTGTCCTGCTTGAAATATTGATGTCATGCAACAATCATTTTTCAATTGTTGCATCAGATATTTTGTATTGTGACATCAAAATTTTACAGGAACCTGGGTGATGTCCAGTAATGGCAGACAAATAAAAATAAGGTGTATAGGAAAACATGACCTAACACCTCGTTCATATAAGATGCAAATACATGGAAGCTGAATGGTTGAATGTGTTCAATATGAAAATAATAGTTAAAATGTCATAATCACAAAACAGCCGTTGGACTATGAGTATGACTTTTGAGCAAATTTGGAGGGAAATGGGGAGTAGAGGGGGTCAAATAGTGTTCAAGGGAAGCAAATGCTCTTTAAATTTTGCGTGTTTCAAAAATTGAGGAAAAATTACAGGGAAGTTGGGTCATCTTTTCAGACTTAAGTTAAATAATGACTAATGTACTTACCTTCTATCTGGGATATATAAAAAAATCACAACTCAGAACAGCCTGAACAATAACACTATGTCTATGTCTATTTTACTTTGACTACTGATCTGCAAACCTACAAACAGACACAAAAATATCATAAAATAGAGAAATATAAGATTGATTGCACTTTGTATGGATAATTCCCACACGTGTTACATGGGGAGCCAGTTTGTTTACAAATAATAATGTCACGTGATCGCGCACTGACGTCACAAATTTGCATCGCCCTTACAATACACTACACAATTCACGCATACATAGCCCATTTATCATGCAAAGTGAATGTGATTGGTTGTCAAATAATACAAAAATATCGCATGTACAGTTAATGAAGAAATTAGTTCATCAAATAGATAAGATTTTCACTCATGACACAACATAAATCGACTGGGTTAACATTTTTGTCATCGGGGATAATTGATAAATGGGATTAAACTGACCGTCAAGAAGGTTTAGAGAACCTCTGGAGAACCTTAACATTAATTACATAATTTAATACTTACCAAAATTACTCTATATTATTAAACGCTATTTAAATGAAATGTCAGACAGATTACGATAGAATACTGATGCAGGCAGTGATGCAGGTTATTTTGGCGCGAAAAAATATTCTTACTCCTATTGTTTGACGTAATAAAATTTGTATAGAATCAAATTTAACTAAAGTTCAGCGTAAACAAAAGTGAATATGCAGAAGCATGACAATATATTAATGATAAAATGTGTATATATTTCTGTAAAAGAAGTTGCCAGTATACTTCACTAAGAATTACATTTGAGCGAAAGGAGATCTCTATTTGTCAATTGGTTTATTAACCCCGGTTGAACCCAGGGTCGAAGTTCAACATGTTAACATTAACGGAAAATTACCTAATTGCATTCGGAATTCTCATGACTTTTTATACCTTCAACGTATTTTGCATTCAGAATTCTCATGACTTTTTATACCTCAACGTATTTTCCAAATCATTTATTTATTTAGTATATATTAACGGAAATTTACCTAATTGCATTCGGAATTCTCATGACTTTTTATACCTTCAACGTATTTTGCATTCAGAATTCTCATGACTTTTTATACCTTCAACGTATTTTCCAAATCATTTATTTATTTAGTATATTTATATATAATTTATTTATTTATTTATAATAATGTATCGGCAGATACACGAAAAGGATCTTTTGAGTCTCCTGTTCAATATGATATGATAGGTAATGAACATTTTTTTTTTCACATTAACTATATACAATTTCTATGTTTTTCATATCTGTTTTGTAGTGAAATACATTTAAAGATATATCACACTTTAATAATTTAAATTTGTGATATATGATATACTGCTGTTTCAGGTTGATCGCAATATATATGATATGTGTCTATTAGCTTTATGATTTTATGATATCGGAAACAGTCATGATATGGAGGATTTGACCATTAGCAACAATGAAATGAAATTTCTAAAGGACGATGTAACGTCTAAGAGTCCATGGATATCTATAAGGAAATGCTAGCAACAGTGATACGGATTTGTCACAATCTAAATGTAAACTTTAAATCATCAAAAGGACACACGGAATCGTTTATATTGTACTTTCCTTGGTTCATGACTGAATACAAGCATTATTTAAATGGTTAGAAGAACCAGTAATATTATATCCCTGACTGCATTCTTTTATTGGGAAATTACTTCAATAAGTTAACTGAGACTTAGAAATTAATTCAGATGGAAAATTTACTGAAATTAGCTTGAGAAATGAGATATGTCATCCAAGATACGTTTTATCAATACAATTATATAAGTATGGAATAACCCAAAAATATTCTTTACAACTGGTTCAATGCTCATTAACCAACTTATAAGCAATCAAAGCAGCTGATGTTCAATGCAAACAAAAATTAATATGCCTTAGATTTTTTATAATTGCATAACATTCTAGTTCATGCATGTTTATTCATTGGATAAGGACATCATTTAAATTTGTTGAATATATTCAGCTGATTTGAATAATTCGAATAATGTATGAATGTTAGAAGATGACACGTGTCGCTTGTATCCTTTAATTGAAACTTCTATATATATACACCACTATTTTGTGAAATTTTAGGGATCGATTGTAAAAAAAATGTGGAAGCATTCTGGTTAACCAATAAACTGGGATAAAAATTCATCAGAAATTTTTGCTATTCTTTATTTCATTATTGAAAGTATAAGCTTTGCAGTAAAGCATCTATGCTTATTCATGTAAAACAGATAAACTTGTGGAGTTATAATCTCTTTTAAAATTATGACGTAAAACAATAAATAATGATTGATTGATTGGTGATTGGTGATTGCATTACGCCGCATCAACAAGAAAAGGCTATATCGCGGCGAGAGCTATTTCAAATATTATAACAACATGAACAAGACGGTTTCTTTTAAAAATCAGACAAACAGTCTTTCAATTTACTAAAACTTTAGTTTAAAGAGAAAATATTTATTTACAAATAAAAATTCATCAATAAGATAACATGATAAAAGCTTAAAATCATATTCAACTAATAAAAGAAATTCAAATTTTGAAATACATTCCAATTTCTTTTAGAAATGAAACAATTATTTCAAGAGGAATATTATTAAATAAATCATACATATTATTCATTGTTATTTACATTAAAAGGTTTTTTTTTCGGATATCAGAAAAGTCTATACATTCAATTGAAATATGCTGTATACTAGCAATCGCAGAGGTATATATACTGGTTGAATACCATTTACTAAAAGATACTCATGACCAATACGGCATCTAGAAATAACACACTGATCTTTCCTGCTTGTAAATTTGTTTAAAGGTTTGAATAAAGTTGGTTTAATTTCGTGTAATTTTTTGTCGTCCTTTGACTCCAAGCATTTTTCCATATATTTAAAACATATTATCTTATATTAGATTTAAAATCAGTATATGGTATTTAACATTTAGATATTGGGTCGTTCAGGACATTCTTTGCTTCCTGGTCTACAACTGTGTTTCCTCGGATGACGGTATGACTTGGCACCCATACATTTAGAAATATTATTTCTTTTTTGAGAATTTTCAAATTTTCCATTACGTAAAGGATTTTAAGAATTAACGGGTTTTTAGTTTTGGTATTTTGTATTGCTTGAAGACATGATAGCGAATCAGAACATATGATAAACTTTGATTTGTCAGAAGTACAAAAAATAATGAGGGGTCTACATCTTTTTAGTAACATAAAAAATGCGTACCATTGATATCTTTCATGCGTCTCGTCATGATATAAGCTAACTATTGCAAAATTGCATGCAACAAAAGTATTTACTGAAATACATACATATATAATGTGTAATTGTACATATATTCTGTGTCTTGATGTATATTGAAGGTAGTGAGAACCTTAATTTTACAATCTTATCACTTTTTTGTGATTGTTCCCTTTCGACTATTAAAATATCACGATAAGGATTCATTAATGATTGTTTATTTGGTTTAAATGTTGTTTTTCTGTTATTTCAGGAATAGTAGCTGGTGTCAGTGGAGGAGTACTTGTTACAATCATAGCTGTGTTTGTTATATGTCGCATAAAAAGGTTATATACTATTGTTATCACGCATTTTCATTTCAAAAACGTATTGGACTGAAACAATCAATATCATGCTAACAAAATACATCCAAGACCCTTCGTAAAGACTATCAATGCTTGGCAACACTTAAAATGTAAGCGCAAACAATCTAGACGTTCAATTAGGTGTACCCGAAAAGATCTTTGAGAACTTTCTCACGAGCAATTTATACATCAATTACTGTGCTTACAATATTGGAAACTCGTCCAGCGACTAGAAACATGATGCATACCTAGTTAAAAAACAAACTTTGGCATATACCGTAAACATTACACAACATAATGGACACTTGAACTAACTTATTGTTAAATTACTTTAATCTGCCTAGACCAAAATGTTGACCTAGTACGGGACGGACGAACAAACGGATTGACATACAGACCAGAAAACTAGTATCGTAGGCGGAGCATACAAATACACAAGAACCATTGACATAAATGCATATCACTTGATGAGCTATTGATATCCCATCTGGTTTAGAATCCGTGTTAATGTTATTCATTGTCTCCCCGCAGTGTCCTTTTTATTGGATAAATACAAAAATAAAGACAGGTTGTATGATTGTCAATACCACAATGTTTTACGAACTGACTTAAAGAAAAAGAATGTAAACAACTATAGGTGAACATACAGCCCTCAACAATAAATCCGATTTAGAGGAAACTTTGGCCACCTTTATGTGTATTACACGAGAAAGTATGTTGCAAAAATATATTCATTTATTTAGTTTCCATGTAAAAATAATGTACGGAGAGGGCTGAGTTGTATGTTTATCCTGGTCATGTATTACTTAAATAGTTAAAGATTTTGTATAATTTGTACAATTACTAGTATACAATTATGTCCTTTTGAACACTGGCTGAAAACTTATATTTGAAACAAAAGTAATTTGATTCAACTTTCTTTCTTTTTTGGTCAAAAAGGAAATATTTATCTTCAAGTCGACGGATGTCAATAGTGAAGTATAAGTTGCTTACACTTCATGATCACTTGAGTGTTCCCTCATAAACATTTAAGAAAAAATAATCAGGTACATGTGTTATTTATTTTTTCCAATATATTTAGTATGGCATGACAAGAAACAAATATGTTGTTTATTTTTACATGTATTTTACAGGTCAAAACCTTGTAAACAGGAGGCTAGCATTGGCAACGGTAACAAAGCTTTTGATGAATTACAATATGACGAAGAAAGTAAACTAAATCCAACCTCGTCTCAATGTTTAGGTCAAGATTGAATCACACATAACAATTCAAATTTAAATATACCAAAGAAGTTGGATCATGGGGGTCAAGAACCAACCGATCTTTATAATATTTCCAACGAGGATGGGACGTACGATATTTCCAGTAACGATAGACAACGAAAAAACGAAAATGATAACGATATATACAGTCACACGGCAGACAATATTTATGATTATGGAAGTCAACACAAGCTACTGGACAGACATGAAGAAACGTATGATCACTTCTTCGGACAGCAAACAGAAGATGAATATTACACCACCACTCGAACGTAAATGTTACACGTTTAAATTGTATATATGGCGTAAATGCAGACCTTTTTTCGTGAATCAGCTTGTAAAGCAAACAGTTATAATGTCAAACATTTCTATAAGTCTAGTTAAACCTAATATATCATACGCACATGGCAGATGTATGCTCATTAAAAACAATATCCAAAATGATAAAGTGTACAGTACAAAATTGTTAACATCAAATGTATTATTCTATGTTTTGAATTAACAGTATTAATCATGTTAACTTAGTTGAATTAAAATGCCTTCTGCAGTTCTTACAAATAGATCTTTATTCAACGTATTTTTATGATTCGTTTTCTGTGTAGTTATAAATGAAATGATAACTCAGATGGATTTGATTGTTATTTATTTGTCCCTTTTGATATTGTAGCTCTTCACGTGCTTCAGCAGGCGCGGATCCAGCCATTTTGAAAAGGGGGTTTCCAACCCCCGGAACACTAGGAATCGTTCACATAATTAAAAATAGGGGGACAGTACCAGAATCGAGACGATTTTAATTTTGAAATTATCAATTTCCCCCACCTTAATAGCAATATACCGACTTTACCTGCATATGGGAAATACATTTCTCAACTCATTCGGTATTCAAGGGCTTGCAGCTGCTACTCAGACTTTATAAAACGTCACCAGTGTCTGAGTAGAAGGTTGATGAACCAGGGTTATGTCAAAGAACGTCTCGTCCTTTTTCTAAAAAAAAGTTCATCGGAAGATACCAAGCCCTTGTTGATAAATATTCCGTATCAACTTCAGAAATAATACATGATGGTCTTGAAGTATATATTCTAGGTAATGACGTTTTTTATCATCTTAATTACGTGTTACAGTGTTCTTTTATTTGTTTTGTAAATTACCGTGGCTCGGTACATATGCATCCCGCCATTTTGTTATTGTGCTGTGGTCATTTTTTGTATTCTTGTCTTTCATTTTTGCTTATGTGCTTTGTCTAAATGTCATTTTGTTTTTCTTTGTTGACATATTTGTTGGTTTTTATAGTGATTAAGATTAAAACACAATGTTGACCGCTGTACTCTTATTTTTGACATTTGTACCTGTTATGTCTGTTTGTGTTGTTTACACATTGTTGTCAATATAATGGAATTTTATGCGACTGTCATACAAGAGAGAGGTTTAGCTAGCTATAAAACCAGGTTTAATCCACCATTTTCTACATAAGGAAATGCCTGTACCAAGTCAGGAATATGACAGTTGTTTTACATTCGTTTGATGTGTTTGAGCTTTTGATTTTGCCATTTGATAAGGGACTTTCCGATTTGAATTTTCCTTGGAGTTCGGAATTTTTGTTATTTTACCTTTTTCCAACCTCCTGGACAACATCCCCCTTGATTCTGCCAATGCTTCGGTATTTATACATCCTTAGTTTTCAAATACTTGACTTTGATCGTTCATGATGCAGGTAAAATCAGAAAGCTCTCCGTATGTTATTGTGTCAATAAGAATGTTGTTTAGATGTTACTAAATGATACCAATGTACATTTTATTACAGTTAAAAGCCTTATATCAATTCAACACGCAAACACATTAAACCATCGGTTATATTGAGGAGCAGAGTGTAAAAAAGATTACGATGTTGATAATATGTTTTTTTATGGCCATTAAGTTTTCATATGAAAATGTAAAGGTACTCCCAAAAATCTATCTGTCACTTCCTTGTTCTTTATTGTGCTTAATGTACTGTTTCGTCAGCTATATATAATCTCAGTATTATTTTTGTATGTTTGAATTAGTATAAAATATAAGGAGATGTGGTAGAAATACCAAGAGATACCATGCTCAAGAGGCAGAAAAGAGGATGTTAAAAACTATAGGGCACTGTACAACCTTCAAGAATGGCAAAATCCATACCGTATTGTAAGCAGTACAAGGCCTTGGCAAGTTAAAATGTGAAACAATTCAAAATTGAAAACAAACCGCCTGATTACATGGACCAAAATAGTAATTCGTTTCCTTGCATCATGGTACTTAAGTCATCAGTGTATAAAACAAGTAGTTTATTAAAAACAAAAGCTGCGTTTCCCAATATTGAATAAGTTGATCTTGAGTATTTTTTTGTAGGACTTAATAGTGGTGATGCCTACACCACATGCAGATGCCATGCGCTCAGAGTCGTTTCAAAACGTTCATATTGTTTTATACATTTGCTATTTTTTATCCATGTTAATTCCAATTCGATAAACGGGTTAGTATTTGTTAAATAAATCAACAAGGCAAGTACTACCCTGGATGGCACTAAATGGGATACTCATCTTGATGTAAGTCAGGCTAGGCGATATGTTATATGGAAAGCATGTATGTGGACTATACTGAATAACAATTGTGGAGGATACTACGTTCCATGCAAGTGTAAGACACGTTTTGTGTGCGCACATCAATGCTACAAAACCTGTATTTATCATGTTTATAAGCTTTCTACCCAACTCTTCATAACTTGTTTCTTAAAGAATTAAACGAAGTCATTTTTTGTATTTCATCAAAACCATATTTGTTTAAACTACTAGTATTCAATGTAAATTTAATATCGTCCATGTCACATTCAACGTCTCGATAGAACATTGTTTGTGCTGGCACGTTAAACACAAACCATTTGATCAAAACTGTTAGTCTGTGTACGCGTTTGTATTACATAGAACGAAGACTGAGTATACTGGTGCGAATAATAGGTTTTGTTTGAATAATACTAAAATAAAGACGGATGTCAATAACTTCTTGTATTAGTGGACAACGACTGTACATATTATATTTAACAATTTGTAGAGTAAAGAAGTCGATATATTTAAGACATGTTGTGTATCCATTTTTTTTCAAATTATTTGCTATACCTTCACAACAAAGACCAACTGATGTAGACTTACGCACCTACAGACCACCGTACGGCCTGCAACAATAGGCAAAAACCTATAACGCATAGTAAGCTTTAAAAGGTCCGACGTGACAAAATCTTGATAAATTTAAACGAAAAAACCAAAAACAAAACAACACATGAAAAATAAACATGATAGACACCAGTCATCGACAACAATTGAATTATTAGCTCCTGAATTGGGATAGTCACATATCTAAACATGTATAACATACCTGAATACATTGTACAATCTGTATTGTACTCTTTTTTTATTATTATTATGTACACGCTGCTTTGGTTTAAATTTAGAACGAATACAAGGAGGTAAAACGAATGCGTAAACAACCCAATAAAACAACAAATGCTGAAACAATATAAAAGGATCAATAGCATAAAGCATTTAATGTCAAGCTACAATGTATATATTTTATGACGTCATCCTTCGCACTAATTCTGATTAAAAAAAGGAAATGTACTACATGAAGTTATGTATGATAAAGCAACAAATAACAGGAAATTAGCAGTAGTTCAATTAACCAGTTGATATAAGTTAAACTTCCCGTTTGTATTTGATAATTGATACTTTCATTTCGGTTGACAATTTAAAATAAAGCAAATATTAACAAAAAAGTAAAAAAGAAAAAAACATTTTTGTTAAGAACGCTCCACTGTAATTTTTTTAAAGCTCAGTTCTCCCCTATTAATTTCGATCAATTGAAAGATTAATATAAGAACACGAAATGACTTTACTTTATCATATGGATAACGAAGCAAATGAAAAGCAATAACAAGCTCTACTCCTTGCATGTTTTTGTCCTATCTATTTATAAATTGTAGCCTAAAAATGTCATGTTGCATTCCTTCTCGAACATTTCATTCGACTCTAATTAATATTCTCTTTTAGTTAAAATTTGATACTAGCTCACGTGTGCGGTCAAAGTCAGGAATCTCGTCAGCGATATTTTAATACCCCATTTAAATTATCAAAAGTAGGTTTGGTAAAGTGTGTCGACCACGAAGAATTGCGATTCCCTGTTGAACGTGGCATGTTGGATAGAAGATATTATGCCTTGCATTTTTCACCCCGTAAAGAGATGGTGCAAGGGTTTTTCAATTTGAAGACACCGTGACACAATCTCTTAACAAAGGATCTGACAGACCTTTGCTGTGTATCTGTACATCCCGCATATCCCACCATACGCCCATCTTGGCATGACTTGTGATTACCATATGTCTTTGTCCAATAAAATGTCAACCCTTTGGGTGATTTGACACCTAATTTAAACAAATGTCAGTCTGTGAAGAATGAAACAACCTGTTTTTAATTTCGTGAGTCCGAAGCGCGTTTCATGATTAAACTTTATAAGGAAACCTCTAATCCAAATATTTTGACTTCCAAAAATCAAAATGAACTTATTTAAATCTACTTAAAAGTACCGACATATTGGTTAGCCAAATATAATTGGTTCATATATGTATCACATTTTATTTAACAGAAAATCTGAATAATGAAATACGCCGATACATTGCTTCCAAAAGGTCATGAAAATACAATATAACAGTTTAGTCATTCTACAAACCAATCTACTGGCATATTGTTAAAATTCGGTAAAGGGTCATACTAAATCCATCAACTCAGACAAGTAATTGGCCATCCAAATGTCCTTAATAATAGTTAAAATGTTGTTTACAAAACATTTTTATTCGAACACATTATAATAGTGAATAGGTTATAACTTTTAAACATGAATAAATAAGATGTATTTCTTGATATGTGTCTATGTATGTGTGTGTGTGTGTGTGTGTGTGTGTGTGTGTGTGTTTTGTATATTTTAGGTCATCGATAATATCCCCAAAAATATCACATATGTTTTATTTAACTAAATTCCGAAGGTAAGCTTACTTGTAATAATGATTTGCAAAAATTAAACAATTCATTAGATTATAATTATTACCTGTGTAAAGTAATAGAAACATGACGATTAAATAAAAGCTATTTTAGTTTGAGTCTTAAAAGCAATTTGAAGTTTCCATGTCCTTGGCGATACCTTGTACGACAATATTTATACTGAAAATTGACGAATAAATTTATTTTTGATAGAATATAATGACAGTTAATGTACCAAAGGGCTTTTATATAATATTTTAAAAATGATTTGACATAGTGGTTACAATAGTTCACAAAGTCATACATTGTAACACAGGGCAGCCACTGTACTTCCCCAATTAATAAACAATGAAATATACGTCAGTATACATCCGATTTACAGGGTATTTTACTAGTATAATATATAAATATAACATTTTCAATTTTCATAACTCATACATTCAAACATTTAAACCTTCCTGTACGTTACCACATATATCCGTTATGTTTAAAATGGATACGGTGTGGATAAGTGAATTCTTATTTGTGTATGTTCATTGTTTTGGTATATCAACGATGCAGGTAGCAGGTAGGCTTTCTATCTTTAAAATCCATGCACTACCTTTTAATGTGTTTATTTATACGTTACATGCATATTTTTCATCTTGATTACTTTTACTTCAAACGATTTCTCTTATTTAATTTATGTAGTATAGAAGTCTCCTATTAAATACATTTTTTTTAAATATAGGACTAGTATGATCGACTTATAAACACTGTTGTCGAATCCAAGTAAATGTTGATGGATAATTAACCATAGCTTTCAATATTTATATGAAATACATTATTACTATTGTCTCCACAACTGACCTGTCCGCTTTGAAAAATTCAAATATGAAAAAAAGAAGATGTGTTAGCATTGCAAATAAGACAACTACCCATTAAAGATCAAAATGAAATTGTGAACAATTATAGGTTATAGTTATAGTTCAATAGTTCACTATTCTTAATAGAACAAACAGAGGATATGGGGTATACATCTATGACACAAAATAAGTACATTCACAACAAAAACACACAAAAAGCAAAGGAACAGCACTTTAATTGCTGTTCTTCATCTCAAAGTCACGGTGAGGCCTTCAATACTGAGCAAAAATATCTCACATTACTGCAAGTTTTTACATGCTTGTACCATTTCTCAGTAAATATATCAAAAACAGATAAATTACAAATAAACGGCATACTCTTTTTCGTACCAATTCAATGAAACACCAAGTTTGGTGGATGATCACTTAATGGATCAATGGATGAATCATAAACATCCAGCGACAAATATTACATTCATATGCAAGACGGGAAAAAATATGTGATATGAATTTGAATCTTGCTATGTAATTGTTATGTTATATGAATATGAATCTTGCTTTGTAGCAGTCCTTCCATATTAGCCGGATATTAAACTTCCTTGTTGCACAGGTAACATCTCTTCCCGGACACATTGCCGACCTTTATTTGTTTTTTTTTTATTCGAACATTCCGCGTGTATAGCCATTATAGGTGAAGGGCAAATTGCATTACAAATTTGCCGGTAATAAATCCAAGACTTTTCTATCTCCATGTATGCATGAAAGCACCGCAGTGATAATGTACAAGCTACAGTACTTCCCATGCAATTTAAGAAAACAATAAATTTTTCAAAGAAACTAGTTTTTTGAAGTCCATCATCTAAAACAGTTAGAGACCCCTGCAACGACAAAAATAAGAGATCATATATAACATCAAAATCTGAGTAACTGTTTATAGAAGATCTATAAGGACCAAACCACGACAGGACATAAAGAGGGACAGTGGTAAATACCAAAACATTATAGGGTAGCAACTCAACGAAGTATTTTGTAACGTATGATGTCATTTGTGGGCCTTTTTCAATTCAGAGCATTTATTTACTACCCGCATACAGCTTAGTTGCTTGAATACTTTATAGATTTTTGAACGGAAAAAAATGTGATTGATGGACGTACTGTAGCGCAGTCATATAACCTATGAAAAGACATTTTAAAGCGTTTCGGGATAATTACACAATGTTTTAAGCAGTTTTACTCTTCGACGCTTTGTGTTAGAATAAAGTCTCGCTATCAGACCTGCATTATATATTATACTGCATTTGTCTGTGTGTTTTCCTGTCTTGACTAGTTGTCGTTTGTGTGATCTTTTAATTGTCTGTTTGAAGAATATCAATAAGGACCTACTAAGACTTACCATGGAATCATTTATACCGAATCTAAAAACATATGTAAGGACTTCAGATAATCAGGGGCAGATACGAATGTTGTTGCATCAAAACGACAAAAGAATTTGAATATATAGATCCCAATAAGCCATTTAACGCAATACAAATGTCCAACTCCAAACAATATGTATTGAAGGCTATCTTATGTGAATGAATTAAAAATGCTTTTATATCTGATAAGGCAACTGAACATGAATTTCAACATAAATATTATGTAACGTACGACGTCCTTTTGGTCCTTTTCAATTCAGACCAATTCATTTCTATTCTAATATATACTATGTATAAAGTAATTTATAGCGCTTCGATTTAATTACGAATGTACTTCAACCATGTCAACAGTTAATTAAACATAAATCTTTATTTTGTGTGTCAGTACTAATCCTGGCTTTCAGGCCTGCATGTGGTTTTATGCTGCTATTTTCTGTGAGTTTTTTTTCTGTTTGACTTGTTTTCGTAAATGGGTGGTGCTGTTAGTTACTTTTAGGGTCTAATATGTATGGTAATTGCAGTTATATAACTTTTTTCTATACAGTAATGACCGTCATTTATAGTCTAATTGTTTATGCTAATCACTTTAATCTTATTGTAAATGGTAGGATTGGTTACGACGATACAGTATCCAGACGAAAATACAGTAAATATCTCATGTTGGAACACTTCTCTAATACAAATACAGAACATAAGTGTACAAGTAGAGGAAACGACCTGTGGTCCAAATCCATGTGTTTTGAATTATAATGATACACAGACTGTAGAAGATAGTTGTGACGGTCGTAATTCCTGTCTGATGGATTACAATTTTACATCAGCCTGTTTACGGGAGTTTAAATACATAAGTCTGTCGTACACTTGTAAACACGGTACTTAGTATTTTCAAACCTTTTTATATTCATTATTTCTGTATATACCTCTTTAAATAGGTAACTCAAGATGACGAAAATATATAGCATACACTCATATTAACCGCTTCAACATGATATATACTCATAAGAAACGAGATACATTTTGTAATCCAGATACTTTTTAAATACTAAAGATACATTTAACTGTATCCATAAAAGAGGTTACAAGTCGAGATTTTCATATTAATTTGGTTATCTATAGTTTTTTGTTCATTTGTTCAGCTATTATATATATATAAAATCTACTTTCAATAACCATTTTCAAAGTATATTCTGTCATTTGCCAGGGACAAGGATTTTAACAACCGTAGGAACCGTACGACATCTTCAATGAGCAACACCAATATGGTTTACTTAGCTAAACAACCCCAGCATTGTTCAAGTGAAGGGTGATGCAGATGGTTGATGCACTGGATTGTTATTGTGTTTCGACTTATACGACATATTGTCTAGATACACTAAGGAAAATTTTTATGATATAACCCCAACATATTTTGTGAATGTAACGAATTAGGCGATCTTGATCATGTGTTGTTTGTTGTGGTTTTGGTTTCGTATGTACGTCTATCTTTTCCGTAGTAGTAAAGTGTTTGCGCACATTGTTTGTGTTGTCTGTTGTACTGGCCTATAACTTTTGGCATTGCTGTTATCATTTTAATGATATATGAAGTTTTAAACTTTATAAAAAAAAATAAGGAGATGTAGTATCATTACCAATGAGTAAATGCGAATATAGCTACGCACTAGAGACAAAATGACATGTGTGTGAAAATCTTTTTTGATATATCACCGTACAGTCATCAACAATGAACAAAATCAGTACCATTCAATTTGTTAGCTATAAAAGGCCCGACATAACAAAATGTAAACAATTCTAACGAGTAAACGAACGACATGACTAATGTAGCAACTGAAAACTGTATAAATAAAGGCAACAGTAGTTTATCGCTGTTCAAAAGTCATAAATCGATTGAGAGAAAACAAATCCGGGTTACAAACTAAAACCGAGGGAAACACATCATATATATAAGAGGAAAACAACGGAACAACAGAAACACTGAAGTGCAACAAAAACAAACGCCAACATACATAGAAACGAACTATTTGATAACAACTACCATATTCGTGACTTGGTACAGGACATTTTAAGAAAAAATGGTGGGTTAAACCTGGTTTTATGGCTAGCCAAACCTCCCGCTTACATGGCAATGTTAAAAATAACCACTTTCATTTTTTGAGAAAAAGGTCTTTGCAAAAATTAGATATGAGCCAAATTTAGTTTACCGACATATACAATCTGTATCAGACATCTTGTTACATCATACAATTTTTTGTGTGGCAAAACCTTGGCTTGTATCTTAATACTTCAAGACGGCAATATTTTTCTTTATTTTATTTTAAAGTCAAGAAGTTATTATCCCTAAAGCAAATATATAAAACATAAATCAGATATATAAATATTAATATATGACAAACTATTATGAATTCTGAATTCAAGGGGCTAAAAAGTAGCCATAAATGAATGACACCTGATCCTTACCATATTAGTTCATCGTTGAAAATTTATTATATTTTCTTTTTGCAATTAGATACATGTATGGTCTTTAATTTGTTTGTAACATTCTGTGTTTAAAAACCTAAATGCGTCAATATCACGATAAATATAATAATCAATATTGATGTTACAACAATATCCTGATCAATTTAAGGGGTAAACAACCTAGCAACACCAAAAAAAACACAAAAGTGGCCAACATGCAGTCTTCGGCAATTTAAAATGTAACTGTTCCTATACGTTTAACGAATGCTGACATACTAAAAAGTAAAATAACAAAAATACCGAACTCCGAAGAAAATTCAAAACGGAAAGTCCGTAATCAAATGGCAAAATCAAAAGCTCAAACACATCAAAAGAAAGGATAATAACTGTCATATTCCTGACTTGGTACAGGCATTTTCTAATGAAGAAAATGGTGGATTAAACTAAATTGGTTTCGGGTTATTGCATATATCTATCTTACGGAGGCAAATATTATGGGTTAATCGTTATATATTTATAATAGATCTATACGGATATTTCCATATTTTCAAAGGAATAATCGAGACATCCCCGTATGAGACTCATTCTATGAATTTTACTGCAATAATCAACTCTACAGGTGTCAATCAGTTTTTGTTTGTTGTTATGTGTACCTTGCATTAGATGGAGATAAGTTTATCGTATTTTAAGCTTAAATTACTTAAAAACTTGGTTCTGCTGTCGATAATAAACTAACTATACAAAGTTCGTTACTGCATGTATTAAACCCAATTTGCGGCAGTAAAACAACGTTTAACGTAGGTCCAACTTTAAATACAATACAGTTATCTCTTATTAATATGCATTGCTGCTGGTAGTTACTATACTATACTAAATGTACAAAAAATATATTAATCAGCTAATATAGAAATCATTCACATGATTAAAGTTCAAAATGTTTTAAATTAACATATGTATTGCCGAGTTGAAATACAGAAACCTCATGGAAAATGCAGAAAAGCATGATACAAGATAATTTAAGTGCAAATTTTCAGTACCATTTTTATACTTTTTAAGTCGTGTTTCAAGCAGTGATTACACGAATCGATATTTCAAAACATTTGTAAATATAACCTTTTTTTTTTACAAAATGAAGGTTGCAAGTCTTTTTACAGTAGTGATACGTTTTCCCATATCATTCGATGCCTAAAAGGAACATAAAGATAAAAAAAGCGGATATTTAAAAGAATATGCTTCTTAGGTCGTGTTCACATTAGTTAAACTCGGTGTGATGTACATGTGCTCAACCATCAAACTACCTCTATTACGTTTCCATTGACAAAAATCAATGTTTACATGTAATTTAAATCAGATTTTCGACAACAGGCAGTCGAAACTCAATGTAGGCTTTGTGTGGGTTATGTGTACATAAAACAACATATTACGGACGTGGATTTTATTGTGAAGATTTAAGAAAGTAACACATATTGAATAAAAATGATTATAATAATATTATGAATTAAGTTATTTACCTATTTATATGACAAAAACTAAAACATAATAAGTTAAAAACATGATTATTTTTTATAGCCTTAGTGGACCTTTTGATTTTTAGTGGGAGGGGGATTTTTTGCTGATGGAATATTCATTTTACACTTGTTGATAGTACGGCTTATCTATTTAGTGCGATTTTTTTCTCACTTTTTGAACACAACTATTTCTTGCATTATGTAGGACGAAATATTCATTTTCATCATGTCTTGGACAATGTTGTTTTTTTACAGTTAGTACCAGTCCAGAATATTCATTTCCTAAATCACCCAAGGGTGACTGGGGAATAGCAATATGGCCACTAAGGTCTTCTTCCGATCGGCAGAAAAACCTTTGCCAAAGTAGGGACTCCGTTTGGCTGTGGTGGATGTACAAGTACGCAGCCAGGTTCGTTCAGCATTGAGACGTTAAATCCCATGACTCGTGAAGAGAGTATGCCACGCTCTCTGCACGATAAGAACACTTGCAACAACTCTTTGTGGGTTCAGTATATGGCCTCTTGCCTGGCAAAATTATTGTTCCTATCCAATGTACTCCCGTTTTCCAATTGCTGTCCAAATTTCCCAGATTTTCATCCCGGACGGTCTATATTAGAGGAGATACCTTTTGTATTTATTGTGAATTTATTCTCGTCCTGAACATGCATGTAATATTCGCCACTGGACGTAAAGCAACCAACAGTCAACCAATCAATCATACCAAATTTCCTATTTTTTGCCTATTGTTATGCTGCTTTGGTCTGTGTAATCGTGACATCTTTAGAACTCTCAAAGTTCTTCAAACCAATAGAACGATTTTTTAAGATACCGACCGGTTATCTTCGTGGGTCAAATCATTTTTTTTTATTATTACTTTAACAAATACAAACATTTTTTTTTTCTTTCAAATTGATGAATTGGTCTTCGGCTATTTGTTACAAAAGTTTACAGAGAAATTTTCAATTCTATGTAATGTAAATGTTAATTACGCATTTATGTGGTTTACTGGTGTGAATAAGGTAATTAAAACCGATGTACAGATGAGAACAAAATTGATGTGAACCCAATGTTCCTTACATGAAACTAAATTTAAACATGTTTACACAAACAAATCCATTGAAGATGAATGTTTGGTGCCTTAAAAAATTGTTCTACTCGACTGGAGAAAGGAGTAGGTCCGGTAAGGGCCGATTTTGGCCTCAAAATTCAGGTTCATCTGATGAAAGATTTTGGACACTTTTTAAACACTTAAGTGTCTACTTCAGTCGATTCAATTAGTTTATGTGAAAGATTTGAACTGATTTAGTCATTAAAGACGCTCAAATTCAAGCTTAAATATGAAAAATCTATCAAATATGCCATAATATGTCACTTTTCAGATGGTTTTTGTCAAAAATGAAAGTGGCCGCATCCGTGTTCATTCTCAACCTTTATATATGTTATGTATTATCATCAAATACAGCTTACATTTAAATATTAAGAATGAACACAAATGCGGCCACTTCCATTTCAGACGGAAACCGTCTAAAAATTAACCAAAATTCGAAAATTTCGAAGATTTCAGTAATCTAGCATGACTTAATGATGCTAGTACCCGATACATGTGCATTGTATTGTCAAAAACAGCACATATTTATGTAACAGAAGTATTCTTCTTTCCAATAAATAGCTAAAAATTTACATTTTAACAATTTTGTAAAACTTCTATATTTTGGGGCCAAAAAGAGGTCTTACTGGGCCTACTCCTTTGTGAGTTCTAAAGATGTCACGATTACGCAGGCCAAAGCAATGAACAAAAGACGAAAAAAAACTTTGGAAATGAATATTCTGGACTGGTACTAATTGTAAAAAAAAAATTATATTGCCCAAGACAGGATAAAAATGAATATTTTGTCCTAGTCCTACAAAATGTAATAGTTGTGTACGAAAAGTGAAAATAATTTTCGCGTGCAAAAAATAAAAATAAAAATAACCCGTTCTATCAAGAGGTGTAAAATGAATATTCCATTCACTAAATTCCCCACTCCTTCTGAAAATCAAATGGTCGTCACCTAAGGCGATTTAGATTTAATAGATATAAGAAGATGTGGTATGAGTGTCAATGAGACAACTCTCCATCCAAGTCACAATTTGTAAAAGTAACATGTTTGTAACTGAGCTTTTTGTTTTTATTTTTTGTGTGTGATATGAATAGGTAAATAACTAATTTCTTAATATTATTATAATTATCATGTTTTTTTGAATATATGTGTAACCTCCTTAAATATTCATAATACAATTCACGTTCTTTATGTACACTTTATCCACACAAGGCATACATTGACTATCAACTGTAGGTAGTCACAACCTGATTTAAACAACATGTAAACATTGACTTTTATCAATGGGAACGTAGTTGAGTTTAGTTTAAGTAATAGTTGTACACCGAGGGATAGGTGTGTCTGGATAAGAAACCCCGTCGGCCGGAGGCCGGAGGTTTTTTTTATCCAGACACGCCGTATCCCGAGGTGTATAACTAACTTACACCCCATTCTAAACCCTATATTTGTTAACATTGATTATCAATTTAAAAAAAAAACAAAAAAACGATAGCATATTTATTGACAATATCAAACCATGATTTATAAAAATATTTTTTTTTATTACATGAAACCCCACTAGTAACCTTCCTTTGGCTATCTTCGTTCAAACTTTGACAAGTGAGTATATTTTACAAATGTCAAGTTGTTTTGCATATTCCCGTTAAATCCTGTGCTAATATGGATCAGCAGGTCAAGGTTGACTGTTTCGTGTATTCTTATTACAAACAAAAATAACATCATACTCCTGGTATACAGTTGTCAATATGGACGGGTATAAGACGGACGACATTTTGTGGCAAGCGTTGGATTTGGTATAAGAGACTAAAGACAAAGACAATATTATAACCCAAAGTACTTACCTATATCAGTTTAATAAAGGTAATCATAACTGTACTGTATATCTTACGATTTTATCAAAAACGAAAGCCCCCCTCCCCCTCTTCTCGAGAATACACAAACATTCCGGGGGTTAGAATCCCCATTTTTTTTTTAAAGATCAATGCTTTAGAATAGAGACATATGCTTGAGATAAAAAAAAATACCTTCAAGCAAAAGAGTATTTAAAGGATTATTTTTGTATTCCATATAGATGCTTATTGGAATTCCTAAAATGTTTTTTTTTAATATCATGAAACAATTTGTAGTGAACACTATTAGTAATTTCTTATGTTCATGCTATTTAAAAAATAATCAATTTCTATTATTACGAATAACAATGGACTTTGTTTGCGGGGTGTAGAAGCAGGGGTTTCCCGAAAACCCGCTCGTCACACCCTGTGGTCAAAATCCATTGTTATTCGTAACAATAGATCTATTCAATTTACACATGTTTCAGAAATAGAAACTATGAAGTATAACAATAGAACTGGGGTGTAAGTTTATGTATACCCATACCACATCGAGTTTAACTCAATGTAATTACGGTCTTATTCACCTCCTGAATATACCGACATCTTGTGTTTAGTGACAACACAATTTCTCGAAAGGAAATGCATTGCTTAAATTGCCTCGTTATAATGAGTATCTGTATTTGAGACATCCTGATCAATGTGAACATAATTTTCATTTTCTAAATAAATATAAAATATCTCTACATATATACCTATAAATTTCTCCAGACACCAATGGCGACAATGATGTTCAATGAATTTTTTTTTAAAATCTCAATATTTTAAAGTAGTATAGTGTATCCCAACACAAATGTTTGCACAGTCTTTGATTTTGCAAAAATCATAATAACAATATAGAAGACGATTATCGTGTATTTGGACAATGTTTCATATATTCTTCTTATAATACTATCTTCAGTAAAGATACGTCTTCGGCTTTTTAATAAATAGAACTCGTAATTTACATGATGTATCACTAATTATAACAAAATCAATTCATTTCAGAGAACGGTACAAGCGTAAGTACTTTTGAGGCAGATTTTGGAGATTGGATGGTAGATTCATCAAATGGTACTAAATGGAAACGTAACGCTCTTGTGAAAGATCACACCCTAGTACACTTAAGTAGGACAATATTTTATCTTTATTAGTATACCTTATTCAAATCTCCACAGACAAAGGAGGCCTATGGTGTGTTTAATATACGCATGTGTACTGTCGTCGATTTGTATTCTATCTAGTGGTAACAAGAACGCCGTTTAATTTTATTTGTTTTTCCCATAATCAAATATCGACTTTTCTTGCTTTACACTAAAATAGTTCGCTTGGCAGTACATTTTCATTTTTGAATATTCATTAAAAAAAAAAAACTCATGATAAATACCGGGTCTCCTCAAAAAATAATTGATGAGATAAAAAAAAAACATGAAATTCTTGAAATGTAACAGGATTATCGATTCATGTATGTATATATTTTTTTTTATATTTTAGATAAGAATGGTTATAGCATTTATGCGTTTTCCTATTCTGGTATAGCTGGTACAATACGTATTGATACAGATAAAGAATTCGTGGAACCAATATGTTTGTCACTTTGGTATCAATTGTATGCCAATTCTTTTGATTGCCTTTTTAGTATATACAAGATTACTGACGGAAATCAGACTTTACTATTTACTGTGGATGGCAATTCTACATCTTTAAGTCAATGGATCAATATATCGGTAGATGTATATGGACAAGATCCGTTTAAGATAGTATTGGAAGCAGACTTTAAACAACGTTATGCAATAGCAGCACGTGCTGTTTTAATAGATGATACATCGATAGCGTATAGGCCATGTGAAGGTAAGTGTGAAGTAGAATAACATCGATTCAGACACGAAGTAATAAGCTTCAAATACCCATAACTTCAATGTAATTTCGACATAAAAAACAATTGATTTAGGCATTCTACAAATCTTTACAATAATATTGTGACAAGTACAATGATCAAATTTGTATGCAACTGTATCTTCAGTTGCATGTAAACAATGTAAATAACAATATGAATAACAATGGAAATAACAATATTAATTACAATGGAAATATCTATTATATTACAAATTTTCAATGCAAGAATGATGACATATAATAACCTTTATTTATTTTTTCTGGGTTTAGATACATATGTCGAAATACCAAATTATATTTTAATAATCCAGATTGTGACAAAAAAAGTCCATGATCCAACAATAGTCCTCTATGTTATGTTAAGTAATTTTATGGTAAATAAAGGCAACAGTAGGATACCGCTGTTCGAAACTCATAAATCGATAGAGACAAAAACAAAACCGGGTTACAAACTAAAACTGAGGGAACGCATCAAATATAAGAGGAGAACAACGACACAACAAAAATACAACATTAAAATGTAACACACACAGAAACGAACTATAATAGTGAAGCTACATTTTTATAAAAGTTTGACGGATGTCACCATTATTCGGATGGCCGTAAGGAGATTTATGTGGCACAGATTACTATGTATGTTCCACCTGTCGAAGTCCTAGTCCAGCATCGTTCATATTATAGTGGGGCACTGAATGCTATCCATCAATTGATGCATCTAGATCAAGCAGGAACTGTTTACCCTTCACCAGTACACGTGTGCTCCACAAATGTGTGTATTATATACGTCCGGTACCTTTGATGAGTTTTTTTAGTTAGATATGTGTCGATTGTGCTTTAGTTGACTGTGCTGATTGTGGCTAATATTTATTTTTTTACTATGTTGATTATTTTGTCTATCTTGTCTTCGTGTTGAAAACTATACATATTTTCTTTTTAAATCTCCACGTTTGGTCATACTTCAGGCTTAGATAGTTGAATTGCATGTATATCTTATTAGCTTGATGGTATCTAAGGTGTTCAAAAAGAGTTATTTACGAAACTCTATGGTATGACGACTTTTCACTCAGTCTGACTTTAACGCTCCAGATGATTTATTGAGCAACATGCCGGTGGAGGTGGAACTGCTGACCCATGCAGAGCACATGAGTGTATCCATGTTTTTTAGTTGGACTTGTGTTGCTATACTCTTTAGTTTTCTTTGTATTATTTTGTCTGTAAAAGCAGCATGTTTTCTGCTTCATAGTTTGTCTAATAGAGAGACCAAGGATACCAAAGGGACATTCAAACTCATAAGTCGAAAATAAACTGACAACGCTATGGTAAAAAACGAAAAAGACAAACAGACAAACAACAGTACACAAAACACAACATAGAAAACCAAAGACTGAGCAACACGAACCCCACCAAAAACTGGGGATGATCTCGGGTGCTCTAATCTTATGTCAACAAAACGGTAGAAAATTTCTTTACAATTGGCTACTACAGAAATGCAACAAAATTGTAAACCAGTCTTCGCAAATATCAACCTGCAAACACTACACAAACGGGGGGACTGCCTTGAAAGCTTAGAAAACTATATGTGTCTAAAATATTAATAGGGCTCGTCTTCATCTTTTAGGGATTTCCTATGGGTGTTTTGCATTGAGATTTTGTAACACTGTTGTTTCATTATTCTTCTAGTTGCTTCAAATCTACATAAATAACTATCTGGTTAACAATTACTGTCCAATCTTAAGCCCTGTGTAATGTAGAAATGTGTTTTGAGCAATACAATGCAAACGAGTGTTTTAAGTCAAAAATCATGTTTTACTTGCACAAAATCTTCATCTCTATACTTTTTCTATCAATGAAGGTCAACAAGTGCATTCAACCTGCCTCGATTTGAACGAACCAATTGAAATAGACTGTGAAAAACAATTCCTTGTCGGTGACATTAGAGCTGTACTCGAACCCGAAAATCCGACCAATCATCTGAAAAAGTGTCCCGCAGAATCTATTGGAAATGAGATAAATAGCTTTTGTAGAAACTTGACGGAGACGGACAAATGTCAATTCAGCGTATTGAATTTTATGAACGGAAATGAAGAATGTTACGTCTCCAACAAGAACATTTCTGTTTTGTTTCAATGTAGTAGTAAGTTTTTTTTTTATTTAGGTTTACAAAGTATATAGATACGTTAATGTATACACGTCTAAATGTTTGTATTTGAATGCATCGGTTGTGTAAAGGGATGGTATTTTATTCCATAAATGTTTAATCCCATGTGGCATTTTCAATGTAATGAATATAAGTTTGAGTAGCTTTGCGATATAACCCCTTCATTATACATGTATACTATATTTTTACCATTTTATCATCTATTTTAATTAACACAAATACCGAATAGTTCATCTGTCATTCGATCTGTCAGTGATCCTTTTCAGATTATAACTTAATAATCGTAAGCTTGCGTTTCATTTTAATTAATCTATTAATTATTGTTTTATATAATGAAAAGACGTTCCATATTGACCTAGGGTCACCTTTTAGAAAATCACGGTCATATATACCATGAATAGATCAGTGCAGATGAACACTCTTGTTGAAATTAATACAACTGTCTTCGAAAAATGGACCCATCGAAAACGTTATCTAATGACAAAGGTCAAAGTTGCTAAACAAATAAATGAGTGCAGAAAAATAATGACTTGTGATAAAACCTTATTTTAGATTGAAATCAAATTTGTATTGTATTGTATTTTTAATCAAAGAAATATTTGGGATAGGATTTGAACATGAATACTTGTCCAAATTTAATGAAAGAAACCTTCATATTCGGAGGTAATAACCATGATAACGTTTAAGATCTGGGTTACATACACTATAATTCGATCAGTAAAGGAATGATAATCCATGAACCACATTTTGTATTTGAACCAACTTGATATATTCAATGTATGCAACATGATAATCCATAAAAATGAGATATATGTGAAATTAACCCTGCCAGATGTACATCTACACCTTATATACGTTCCATTCATCAAATATAATTGCACTATAGCCTATTTTAACTGAGCTTGTTTTCCTATATATACGTCAACCCGTATTTTGCAATACACAACAGTCTGTCTACTAAAAGATAATAAACATTGTTCTGCATTTTAGACAATTTCCAGACAACCACCCATGTGAAAATTTCAACAGAACCCAGCACCATGTTTGAAGGTAGTTACAAACACACCTTATAATAACATAAGCAACACGACGGGTGCCACATGTAAAGCAGGATCTGCTTACCCTTCCGGAGCACCTGAGATCACCCCCAGTTTTTGGTGGGGTTCGTGTTGCTTAGTCTTTGGTTTTCTATGTTGTGTCATCTGTACTATTATTTGTCTGTTTGTCTTTTTATTTTTGGCCATGGCGTTGTCAGTTTGTTTTCGATCTATGAGTTTGACTGTCCCTCTGGTATCTTTCGTCCCTCTTTTATACATTCCATTCATCCAATATAATTGCCCTATTGCTTATAGTATCTGAGCTTGTTTTCTCATGTACATTGCACATCACCCATATGTTGCGTTACGAATTGACCAAAAGTTAGTCCACTTCAAGATAATTAACAATTTCTTTTCTGCATTTTAGACAATTTCCAGACAACGCCACATGTGGAAACATCAGCAGAATCCAGCACCCACTTCGAAGGTAATTATACATTTTTATAAAGTAACAAAGAAAATATAAAATTAAAATTAAGAAGAAAAACAGATACAAAGTCTACTCTAAAATCTCCATACCGGACCATCACAAGTCTATCATTATATAGAGTTGAACCAGTCAATAGGTACGTTTAATTTATATATTTGAAATACCTAATCATTCTTACTCCAGTGACCATCAATTAAATATAAAAAGAATAATTGTAATAAAAATTTACAAATTCCATCAAATGACATAAATTTCAATTTTCGTGATATATTTTCAAAGACTATTGTCACATTGAACATAGTTCAACATATTATTTTATGTTTACTAGTAGTACGTGTAACCAATTACAATGTACATGTATAAGACACCGCATTCAGGAATTTAGGATGTCCTTTTCTCTCTATTTGTAGAATTTGTAAGCCATGTTCGATGTGCAACATAAATATTAGGGACACAAACTACATGTCACTGAATATACATTTTAAAAACTCCTAGCAGTTCTAGTGAAATATTTTGGAGATATCTTCAAGTTTATATGTTATATGCATTTTAGTTTCAGAATTAAATAACCCTGACAACGCTTATACTGAAACAAACTGCATTACTTTGTGTAACTTCATTTAGCTATTTAAGAATTGTGTTTTATGTTTTGGTTTCTTAAGGATGTTCGCTACTCTGTTTCAAAATAACAAGCTTTTTAAAAGACTATTATAAATTGATAGTATATAAATAAAGGGACTAATAAAGCAGAAAAAAATGAAGGGTCTGTGTGCTTGTTTTCGAGATATAAGCCATTGAAAATTCGGCGGGAAATGATTCTCTCTAGATTTTTCATGCATTTAACATTGGCACCTTTTGTTTCTTTCAAAAACAATGAAAAAATAACAAGGATTTTATAAGATTTTCAAATATGTCTTTTTAAACTATATGTAATACAATTATGAAAAGAAAAGTAGGGGTTAGCGGGCAAAATTTTGAATGGCACTACATGGATAAAACCAGAGGTTTCCGAATATCTGGCATGAAATCAAAAACAAGAGGAGCGAACATCCTTAAATATGTTTGCGCCTAGCATTAGTTTAGATACATGTCGAAAAGGGAATAACATGCGTGAACTTATCGTTATTGTGTGTACCTAGAACAAACAGTGTTCACTCCATGTTGACACAGAAGCAGTTCCTTGTAAATTCTCATCCGTTTGGACAAGTTTTGTTTATAGTGCTTTGCACATATTCTCTAATTTAACTTTATGTCTGAATACCTCGCTCTTAATCCAACAAAAGTCAAACATGGCCTCCAATCTAAGCAGGGGCGTAGCTACCTTCTTAATGAAGTGGAATCAAAAACTAAAGAGCGAGGGGTCTGGGGCGAATCTTGTGAGCGTGCAACCGTACCCTAACCTGGAAGAGTGGTGTAGCAGCATAATATAAGGACAAACTGTCATTTGAAAGTTGAAAATGGATTGACTCATCAAATTGACACGAAGCACAAAATACGAAATAGAGACAAGAGACACAAAGTACCCATCTGAGACACAGTTTTATTTGTTTAACTTAGTAGTTGAAGTTGGCTTTTTATTTATTCTGAATTGATTTTGTACGTAGGAAATTGATGTTCAACTATCCGTCTGAAAAGAAGATGATTTTATATTTATCTCAATCTTTTTCTGTAGGTTATTTTACCCTGAAAGCTATCAGTGATTATGTAATCGGAATTCCAGATGCATTATCCCTAATAGCAAGATTACTAAACGGAGGGGGAAGGGGGAAGGGGCGATCCCCGTAAGCTCAGCGTTTCAAAACAATCATATCCGTAATCAAACTTGTAAATTTTGTTTGTGGTTTTCTTGTCAACTATTTGTTTAACTTCGAGTCGAATGAAGACTTAACATTGTCGTTTGAGTGTGTATGAAATTTGCATGAGGCAAACTTAAGTAAGAGTACGGAAATGAAAAGTTGAACGGACGGAAGGACGGAAGGACAGTCAAGGGTAACACCTATTGTCCCATTCGCCTAGCGGCGGGGGCATTCAAATGTGTCTCTTCAAAATCACTCAGTATATGTTTATACAAAAGTTTCATGTCTAACAGACATACGGATAGACGAATAAAAATGTCCAGACGGTAAAATTCACATGTCCATGAAGGTACATTTTGATTCTGCAAAAATCACCGTCTTCATACAAAATACTTCAACATGTTTTTGTTATATTTTTTGCTTTTGCTTTTGTTTTTGTTTTTGTTTTGTTTATCTGTTTGTTTGGTTTTTTTTGGGGGGAGGGGGGATTTTTTTATATAAAGTTTTGAATATCAAGGGGGTTGTGAAGGAGATGACTTTATTTTCATCGTATGAGGCATAACTCTTTAGCCTGTCAACCAATGCAATGACAGGTAAAAAATTCATGAAGCTTGTTATTGAATATTACATTTCTGCCAAAAATAGTTCCTGAGAAAAATGCCACGAAAACTTCCTCGTATGACCATATGTACGAAAATAAAAGGAGTTCAGAAAGTAGGAAACTGAGGAGTATTTTGCTGTGATGAATAGTTGCTGATAAAAATGTTGTTACAGACGGACGCACAGACAGAGATACACAGTAACCAGTATATCCAGTACTCCGTTGGGCAAGGAACGGGAGGATAAAAAAAAATGTCATTCCCAATAAGTGCATTATGTGGGAACCAACGCAGTCGTTTTTTACAGGTGGTGGCCACAGATTGCATGACTAATCTATTAAAGTAGAAAATACGTTCTGTATATATTGCTCAATTTCTTTATAATTGCCTGCACCAACTCATTGACATAGAAATTTTAAAGGGTGAGTGTTTGGATGTTTTTCTTTCACAATAAGGCTGCATTTTTTTTCATTTTAACTGCCAGAATTATAAAGATTTTCCAAGTAATAATGGGGTGCGGCCCACCCTTTCTTTGCATCGACCTTAACTTAGAAGTCGCGATTTTACAAACACACCGATGGTGAGTCGTTGTTAGTGATCAACGAAAGGGACGCTATGTTTTTTTTTAAACTGATCCTAAAGTTTGAGTAAAAAATGTTTTGGCTTCGATGGGTTTTAAAAAATAAATAATCGGATGTTTTTTTTTTCACCAAATAAACAATGTTAAATTATGAAATAGTTTGTCGTGCCGCATACACAAATTTGGCCCGAGAAAAAAAAACATATGGCCCCTTCAAGTTACATTGTCGGTCCCCAAGTTCGTTTCCCTCTGGGTGCTTTACCCTATGTTCGGTGGTTTTTTTTCATAGACTTAGATCTAACCGTCTTTTTAGCAACATTTATATTTTAACTTTGTTCGTTTCTCTCTCTCTCTATCTGTTTTTTTTGTATGTGAAAACGACGTGGATGCACGTGCTGTCGTGCCTCTGGGTAGCTACGCCCCTGCTAAGTATGACTACACATACACGAAGTGTCTTAAAAAGTAAAT